TGGAACTTAATGTTTTTAACATTTGCTACAAGTCAGATCAAACGTTCAATTCGCATTTCACTATGATATCAAAATTTGGCGATATAATTTGTCAACCTTTCGTATGGACGAGTCAAATCTTCGGTTGAAATTATTCATGATCCACTTCTTGTAATCCTTTAATTAACCATTCATTTATAGATGAAGCAGTTCAAATGAAATTGCATTTTAACAATTCAAATTATTGCTTAGCCTGCTCACAAACCAGTGTAACTGATCGAGATGCACTTTATGATAGTTCTAAATGTTATCACGAATAGGGGGATAAATAAAGAGCAAGTGTACGTGAGGCAAAATAACAGAATATGACAGCAAAAAAATAGCCTTCAGAGAGAGTCGAACTCTCGACCTCCAGTTTATTAGACTGGCGCTCTAACCAACTGATCTATGAAGGCTCCACGTTAAATGATTTGAAATATTCAATATTCATATCTAGACTTATTCTTCCGTGATCTATGGGCAAGTATATACAAGTGCATACAGATAGACAGAGGAAAATTAACATTCTAGACGTTATGCAGTTGCTTCTGTTTTACTTTTCCTAAGTATGAGACGACACGGTCGATTTTATGTTCATACATCGATTTGTCTTTCTATCGTATCATCTTATCATATTTGTTGTTTCGGTCTATTGACATATTTATTGATAGATGAAGTTGCAAAACAGTTTTTTTGTCAATTACCTGTTTGTCATGACGCTAAATAACCAAAAAGATGTACTTATCGTTTCGAAGTCGAAAGTAACCACTAGATATAAGTATACAATTCCTGATGTCTGAAACTATTCTGTCGCCATAGCTCAGTCGGTTGACGGCCAGACAGGGAATACCGAGGACCGCAGTTCGAATCTCACAATGGCTTTTTGAATTTGAGAGCAAAATTTCTCATTTGGAACTTAATGTTTTTGACATTTGCTACAAGCCAGATCAAACGTTCAATTCGCATTTCTAAATGATATCAAAATTTGGCGATATAATTTGTCAACCTTTCGTATGGACGAGTCAAATCTTCGGTTGAAATTATTCATGATCCACTTCTTGTAATCCTTTAATTAACCATTCATTTATAGATGAAGCAGTTCAAATGAAATTGCATTTTAACAATTCAAATTATTGCTTAGCCTGCTCACAAACCAGTGTAACTGATCGAGATGCACTTTATGAAAGTTCTAAATGTTATCACGAATAGGGGGATAAATAAAGAGTAAGTGTACGTGAGGCAAAATAACAGAAAATGACAGCAAAAAAATAGCCTTCAGAGAGAGTCGAACTCTCGACCTCCAGTTTACTAGACTGGCGCTCTAACCAACTGATCTATGAAGGCTCCACGTTAAATGATTTGAAATATTCAATATTTATATCTAGACTTATTCTTCCGTGATCTATGGGCAAGTATATACAAGTGCATACAGATAGACAGAGGAAAATTAACATTCTAGACGTTATGCAGTTGCTTTTGTTTTACTTTTCCTAAGTATGAGACGACACGGTCGATTTTATGTTCATACATCGATTTGTCTTTCTATCGTATCATCTTATCATATTTGTTGTTTCGGTCTATTGACATATTTATTGATAGATGAAGTTGCAAAACAGTTTTTTTGTCAATTACCTGTTTGTCATGACGCTAAATTACCAAAAAGATGTACTTATCGTTTCGAAGTCGAAAGTAACCACTAGATATAAGAATACAATTCTGATGTCTGAAACTATTCTGTCGCCATAGCTCAGTCGGTTGACGGCCAGACAGGGAATACCGAGGACCGCATTTCGAATCTCACAATGGCTTTTTGAATTTGAGAACAAAATTTCTCATTTGGAACTTAATGTTTTTGACATTTGCTACAAGTCAGATCAAACGTTCAATTCGCATTTCTAAATGATATCAAAATTTGGCGATATAATTTGTCAACCTTTCGTATGGACGAGTCAAATATTCGGTTGAAATTATTCATGATCCACTTCTTGTAATCCTTTAATTAACCATTCATTTATAGATGAATCAGTTCAAATGAAATTGCATTTTAACAATTCAAATTATTGCTTAGCCTGCTCACAAACCAGTGTAACTGATCGAGATGCACTTTATGAAAGTTCTAAATGTTATCACGAATAGGGGGATAAATAAAGAGTAAGTGTACGTGAGGCAAAATAACAGAAATTGACAGCAAAAAAATAGCCTTCAGAGAGAGTCGAACTCTCGACCTCCAGTTTACTAGACTGGCGCTCTAACCAACTGATCTATGAAGGCTCCACGTTAAATGATTTGAAATATTCAATATTTATATCTAGACTTATTCTTCCGTGATCTATGGGCAAGTATATACAAGTGCATACAGATGGACAGAGGAAAATTAACATTCTAGACGTTATGCAGTTGCTTCTGTTTTACTTTTCCTAAGTATGAGACGACACGGTCGATTTTATATTCATTCATCGATTTGTCTTTCTATCGTATCATCTTATCATATTTGTTGTTTCGGTCTATTGACATATTTATTGATAGATGAAGTTGCAAAACAGTTTTTTTGTCAATTACCTGTTTGTCATGACGCTAAATAACCAAAAAGATCTACTTATCGTTTCGAAGTCGAAAGTAACCACTAGATATAAGTATACAATTCTGATGTCTGAAACTATTCTGTCGCCATAGCTCAGTCGGTTGACGGCCAGACAGGGAATACCGAGGACCGCATTTCGAATCTCACAATGGCTTTTTGAATTTGAGAGCAAAATTTCTCATTTGGAACTTAATGTTTTTGACATTTGCTACAAGCCAGATCAAACGTTCAATTCGCATTTCACTATGATATCAAAATTTGGCGATATAATTTGTCAACCTTTCGTATGGACGAGTCAAATCTTCGGTTGAAATTATTCATGATCCACTTCTTGTAATCCTTTAATTAACCATTCATTTATAGATGAAGCAGTTCAAATGAAATTGCATTTTAACAATTCAAATTATTGCTTAGCCTGCTCACAAACCAGTGTAACTGATCGAGATGCACTTTATGATAGTTCTAAATGTTATCACGAATAGGGGGATAAATAAAGAGTAAGTGTACGTGAGGCAAAATAACAGAAAATGACAGCAAAAAAATAGCCTTCAGAGAGAGTCGAACTCTCGACCTCCAGTTTACTAGACTAGCTGGCGCTCTAACCAACTGAGCTATGAAGGCTCCACGTTAAATGATTTGAAATATTCAATATTTATATCTAGACTTATTCTTCCGTGATCTATGGGCAAGTATATACAAGTGCATACAGATAGACAGAGGAAAATTAACATTCTAGACGTTATGCAGTTGCTTCTGTTTTACTTTTCCTAAGTATGAGACGACACGGTCGATTTTATGTTCATACATCGATTTGTCTTTCTATCGTATCATCTTATCATATTTGTTGTTTCGGTCTATTGACATATTTATTGATAGATGAAGTTGCAAAACAGTTTTTTTGTCAATTACCTGTTTGTCATGACGCTAAATAACCAAAAAGATGTACTTATCTTTTCGAAGTCGAAAGTAACCACTAGATATAAGTATACAATTCTGATGTCTGAAACTATTCTGTCGCCATAGCTCAGTCGGTTGACGGCCAGACAGGGAATACCGAGGACCGCATTTCGAATCTCACAATGGCTTTTTGAATTTGAGAACAAAATTTCTCATTTGGAACTTAATGTTTTTGACATTTGCTACAAGCCAGATCAAACGTTCAATTCGCATTTCTAAATGATATCAAAATTTGGCGATATAATTTGTCAACCTTTCGTATGGACGAGTCAAATCTTCGGTTGAAATTATTCATGATCCACTTCTTGTAATCCTTTAATTAACCATTCATTTATAGATGAAGCAGTTCAAATGAAATTGCATTTTAACAATTCAAATTATTGCTTAGCCTGCTCACAAACCAGTGTAACTGATCGAGATGCACTTTATGAAAGTTCTAAATGTTATCACGAATAGGGGGATAAATAAAGAGTAAGTGTACGTGAGGCAAAATAACAGAAAATGACAGCAAAAAAATAGCCTTCAGAGAGAGTCGAACTCTCGACCTCCAGTTTACTAGACTGGCGCTCTAACCAACTGATCTATGAAGGCTCCACGTTAAATGATTTGAAATATTCAATATTTATATCTAGACTTATTCTTCCGTGATCTATGGGCAAGTATATACAAGTGCATACAGATAGACAGAGGAAAATTAACATTCTAGACGTTATGCAGTTGCTTCTGTTTTACTTTTCCTAAGTATGAGACGACACGGTCGATTTTATATTCATTCATCGATTTGTCTTTCTATCGTATCATCTTATCATATTTGTTGTTTCGGTCTATTGACATATTTATTGATAGATGAAGTTGCAAAACAGTTTTTTTGTCAATTACCTGTTTGTCATGACGCTAAATAACCAAAAAGATCTACTTATCGTTTCGAAGTCGAAAGTAACCACTAGATATAAGTATACAATTCTGATGTCTGAAACTATTCTGTCGCCATAGCTCAGTCGGTTGACGGCCAGACAGGGAATACCGAGGACCGCATTTCGAATCTCACAATGGCTTTTTGAATTTGAGAGCAAAATTTCTCATTTGGAACTTAATGTTTTTGACATTTGCTACAAGCCAGATCAAACGTTCAATTCGCATTTCACTATGATATCAAAACTTGGCGATATAATTTGTCAACCTTTCGTATGGACGAGTCAAATCTTCGGCTGAAATTATTCATGATCCACTTCTTGTAATCATTTAATTAACCATTCATTTATAGATGAAGCAGTTCAAATGAAATTGCATTTTAACAATTCAAATTATTGCTTAGCCTGCTCACAAACCAGTGTAACTGATCGAGATGCACTTTATGATAGTTCTAAATGTTATCACGAATAGGGGGATAAATAAAGAGTAAGTGTACGTGAGGCAAAATAACAGAAAATGACAGCAAAAAAATAGCCTTCAGAGAGAGTCGAACTCTCGACCTCCAGTTTACTAGACTAGCTGGCGCTCTAACCAACTGAGCTATGAAGGCTCCACGTTAAATGATTTGAAATATTCAATATTTATATCTAGACTTATTCTTCCGTGATCTATGGGCAAGTATATACAAGTGCATACAGATAGACAGAGGAAAATTAACATTCTAGACGTTATGCAGTTGCTTCTGTTTTACTTTTCCTAAGTATGAGACGACACGGTCGATTTTATGTTCATACATCGATTTGTCTTTCTATCGTATCATCTTATCATATTTGTTGTTTCGGTCTATTGACATATTTATTGATAGATGAAGTTGCAAAACAGTTTTTTTGTCAATTACCTGTTTGTCATGACGCTAAATAACCAAAAAGATGTACTTATCTTTTCGAAGTCGAAAGTAACCACTAGATATAAGTATACAATTCTGATGTCTGAAACTATTCTGTCGCCATAGCTCAGTCGGTTGACGGCCAGACAGGGAATACCGAGGACCGCAGTTCGAATCTCACAATGGCTTTTTGAATTTGAGAGCAAAATTTCTCATTTGGAACTTAATGTTTTTGACATTTGCTACAAGCCAGATCAAACGTTCAATTCGCATTTCTAAATGATATCAAAATTTGGCGATATAATTTGTCAACCTTTCGTATGGACGAGTCAAATCTTCGGTTGAAATTATTCATGATCCACTTCTTGTAATCCTTTAATTAACCATTCATTTATAGATGAAGCAGTTCAAATGAAATTGCATTTTAACAATTCAAATTATTGCTTAGCCTGCTCACAAACCAGTGTAACTGATCGAGATGCACTTTATGAAAGTTCTAAATGTTATCACGAATAGGGGGATAAATAAAGAGTAAGTGTACGTGAGGCAAAATAACAGAAAATGACAGCAAAAAAATAGCCTTCAGAGAGAGTCGAACTCTCGACCTCCAGTTTACTAGACTGGCGCTCTAACCAACTGAGCTATGAAGGCTCCACGTTAAATGATTTGAAATATTCAATATTTATATCTAGACTTATTCTTCCGTGATCTATGGGCAAGTATATACAAGTGCATACAGATAGACAGAGGAAAATTAACATTCTAGACGTTATGCAGTTGCTTCTGTTTTACTTTTCCTAAGTATGAGACGACACGGTCGATTTTATGTTCATACATCGATTTGTCTTTCTATCGTATCATCTTATCATATTTGTTGTTTCGGTCTATTGACATATTTATTGATAGATGAAGTTGCAAAACAGTTTTTTGTCAATTACCTGTTTGTCATGACGCTAAATAACCAAAAAGATGTACTTATCTTTTCGAAGTCGAAAGTAACCACTAGATATAAGTATACAATTCTGATGTCTGAAACTATTCTGTCGCCATAGCTCAGTCGGTTGACGGCCAGACAGGGAATACCGAGGACCGCAGTTCGAATCTCACAATGGCTTTTTGAATTTGAGAGCAAAATTTCTCATTTGGAACTTAAATGTTTTTGACATTTGCTACAAGCCAGATCAAACGTTCAATTCGCATTTCTAAATGATATCAAAATTTGGCGATATAATTTGTCAACCTTTCGTATGGACGAGTCAAATCTTCGGTTGAAATTATTCATGATCCACTTCTTGTAATCCTTTAATTAACCATTCATTTATAGATGAAGCAGTTCAAATGAAATTGCATTTTAACAATTCAAATTATTGCTTAGCCTGCTCACAAACCAGTGTAACTGATCGAGATGCACTATATGAAAGTTCTAAATGTTATCACGAATAGGGGGATAAATAAAGAGTAAGTGTACGTGAGGCAAAATGACAGCAAAAAAATAGCCTTCAGAGAGAGTCGAACTCTCGACCTCCAGTTTACTAGACTGGCGCTCTAACCAACTGAGCTATGAAGGCTCCACGTTAAATGATTTGAAATATTCAATATTTATATCTAGACTTATTCTTCCGTGATCTATGGGCAAGTATATACAAGTGCATACAGATAGACAGAGGAAAATTAACATTCTAGACGTTATGCAGTTGCTTCTGTTTTACTTTTCCTAAGTATGAGACGACACGGTCGATTTTATGTTCATACATCGATTTGTCTTTCTATCGTATCATCTTATCATATTTGTTGTTTCGGTCTATTGACATATTTATTGATAGATGAAGTTGCAAAACAGTTTTTTGTCAATTACCTGTTTGTCATGACGCTAAATAACCAAAAAGATGTACTTATCTTTTCGAAGTCGAAAGTAACCACTAGATATAAGTTAGTCCGAGAATACTCTGACGTCCAACGGCTGTTTTGCCAGACAAGCTGGGGCCGTGGGACGTCAGAGCTCGTCCCATATCAAAAAGTGGATATTTGCCCGTCCAAAATAGATGCGCTGCTTCGTCGCTTCTGGTGTCAACGGACGGCCTTGGAATTATATAAATTGGGTATCAATTTGTTCATTTTTCATTTATCTCTGCATTTATGTAAGTTTCACCTACCTGCCACCCTTTATTTTCTCATATTTAGACAGTTTTCACAGTGACCCATCGATTCAGACATTTTTACTTTTATTTTCAAATGAACGTCAAGTTACGAGAGATTTTGCGACCTCGAGACTCAAATATGCAAATATTTATACTTTTTTCACCTCCTTCATAGGAGATCGATATTTAACATTTAGTAGCCAACCACGATTTTTCACCTCCTTTACAGGAGATCAGTATTAAGCATTTGGTGCCAACCACGATAACATTCGGAAGCTCTCGGATATTTACATTGCTTGCATCGTAAATGAGCGAGGTGTTAGATTATATATTCATATTGACCTAGGGTCATATGGATACATCATTTCCCATAGTCCATTGTGCCTTACTTTTTTCTCGTGATCACATGACAATCTTTCAAAATGAAAGTCAAAATGCCAGAATCGGTGGGTCACTGTGAAAACTGTCTAAATATGAGAAAATAAAGGGTGGCAGGTAGGTGAAACTTACATAAATGAAGAGATAAATGAAAAATGAACAAATTGATACCCGATTTATATAATTCCAAGGCCGTCCGTTGGCACCAGAAGCGACGAAGCAGAGCATCTATTTTGGACGGGCAAATATCCACTTTTTGATATGGGACGAGCTCTGACGTCCCACGGCCCCAGCTTGTCTGGCAAAACAGCCGTTGGACGTAAGAGTAATCTCGGACTAGATATAAGTATACAATTCTGATGTCTGAAACTATTCTGTCGCCATAGCTCAGTCGGTTGACGGCCAGACAGGGAATACCGAGGACCGCAGTTCGAATCTCACAATGGCTTTTTGAATTTGAGAGCAAAATTTCTCATTTGGAACTTAATGTTTTTGACATTTGCTACAAGCCAGATCAAACGTTCAATTCGCATTTCTAAATGATATCAAAATTTGGCGATATAATTTGTCAATCTTTCGTATGGACGAGTCAAATCTTCGGTTGAAATTATTCATGATCCACTTCTTGTAATCCTTTAATTAACCATTCATTTATAGATGAAGCAGTTCAAATGAAATTGCATTTTAACAATTCAAATTATTGCTTAGCCTGTTCACAAACCAGTGTAACTGATCGAGATGCACTTTATGAAAGTTCTAAATGTTATCACGAATAGGGGGATAAATAAAGAGTAAGTGTACGTGAGGCAAAATAACAGAAAATGACAGCAAAAAAATAGCCTTCAGAGAGAGTTGAACTCTCGACCTCCAGTTTACTAGACTGGCGCTCTAACCAACTGAGCTATGAAGGCTCCACGTTAAATGATTTGAAATATTCAATATTTATATCTAGACTTATTCTTCCGTGATCTATGGGCAAGTATATACAAGTGCATACAGATAGACAGAGGAAAATTAACATTCTAGACGTTATGCAGTTGCTTCTGTTTTACTTTTCCTAAGTATGAGACGACACGGTCGATTTCATGTTCATACATCGATTTGTCTTTCTATCGTATCATCTTATCATATTTGTTGTTTCGGTCTATTGACATATTTATTGATAGATGAAGTTGCAAAACAGTTTTTTGTCAATTACCTGTTTGTCATGACGCTAAATAACCAAAAAGATGTACTTATCTTTTCGAAGTCGAAAGTAACCACTAGATATAAGTATACAATTCTGATGTCTGAAACTATTCTGTCGCCATAGCTCAGTCGGTTGACGGACAGACAGGGACTACCGAGGACCGGTTCGAATCTCACAATGGCTTTTTGAATTTGAGAGCAAAATTTCTCATTTGGAACTTAATGTTTTTGACATTTGCTACAAGCCAGATCAAACGTTCAATTCGCATTTCTAAATGATATCAAAATTTGGCGATATAATTTATCAACCTTTCGTATGGACGAGTCAAATCTTCAGTTGAAATTATTCGTGATCCACTTCTTGTAATCCTTTAATTAACCATTCATTTATAGATGAAGCAGTTCAAATGAAATTGCATTTTAACAATTCAAATTATTGCTTAGCCTGCTCACAAACCAGTGTAACTGATCGAGATGCACTTTATGAAAGTTCTAAATGTTATCACGAATAGGGGGATAAATAAAGAGTAAGTGTACGTGAGGCAAAATAACAGAAAATGACTGCAAAAAAATAGCCTTCAGAGAGAGTCGAACTCTCGACCTCCAGTTTACTAGACTGGCGCTCTAACTTTTTATCATTAATAAAATTTTTATTACATATTTACATACTGTCACCATGAGACATTCCTCTTTGGTGAGAAGTTTTCTATATACAGAGTTGTTATTAGTTATCCTCCTACATTAGTAAAAAATAAAATACATCTAGATGAGACACGTTAAAAACTTTAAAAATAGTATAGCATATTAGTCCCAATTTATTTTAAAGTGATTCATTCATCAAAAGGGTATATGAATTGAACAGGACAGATTCAATATAAGTTATATATTGAAAGCGAGACAACTCTAAAATATTTTCAAAAGTCGAACACACCTAAATGCGATCGATAATTTTACATTGGAATGTGATCTTTTGTTCTAACAACCAATCAAATTGAAGTAACTGTCTAGACAAACAAAACT